TGTTGAAATATAAGAGTAATTAATATCTTAATGACAAAATCTATAATACAACCTTCAAAAAAATATTAATAAATATTTAATAATTAGTATGGTAGAGACAATTAAGGAAATAGTTAGGATGAATGTAAAAAGAAAAATAAATATTGTAATAGAACAGATAAAATTTTGGTATTTCAAATTTTGGTAAGTTATAGTTTGTACTTTTATTTTAGTAGAATAGATAACAAACATAAATTTTAAATAAGACAATGGTATTTTTGTTATTACTTGTAAAACAGAAGGATATCTCAAAAAAAAAAAAAAAATCTGTTTTGATATTATAGATTGAACTAGATTAAAAAAATCTGTTTTGATATTATAGCATCAACAAGTTTTTTAATCAGACTTTCTTATCATTTAATATTAATATAATCTGATATAAAAATAATTTCTGAAATAATTATAAAACTAAACCCTTAATAGAGTGGCAGATTGCAAAGTAGTATCTCATCGTTTTTTCAAGTCGTTCATATGAGGGTTTTTTTTTCACCTCAGTTCTTTTTTTCTATATTCTTTTCATTTTTGATTTGTTAAGTGATTTGAAAAAAAAAAAAGAATAGAATATTGATTAAAAAGAATGAAATATTCATTGTAAAAACATTTTGAATCAAATAAATTTAACATTCATTTCAAAAAATATTAACTTGTGATTTTCATTGATTTCTTATTAAATAAAGTATATATGTGAAAAACAACAGTTTTACTGCTTAAAAACTTATATAATATGCCATTAAGGAAAATAAAATTTAGAACGAGATGATAGTAATATGTCCACTCACATAAAATAAAGTTAACAACAGAAGAAAACATACAAAGGATATTTAAAGAAAAAAAAAACTAAAAGCAGAGGAAGGCATATAGTGATATAAACGATGGACCATGGGAATGCATATTGGAATTGTTAAATATAATTAGGTAATATATTTTGGCACACTATTTGGAAGATAAAAATAGAAATCAATTTTTTTTTTTAAAATGACTATCCTAAATTATATATACGATTTTAAAATCCTAAGTGATATAAAAGAGGTTGTATATTTTTTCCTACCCAACTATTGTAAACTTGTTTAATTTTTGTATATTATGTCAAATATTGCCTAAGCTAAAACTAATATTTTTACTCACATATATTATCATTAATTATTAGTTGATAGTAGTAATAATTAAATATCAAATCCAAACCATATTTGAATTTAGTATATAACCTATTACTAGATTTTGACCCGCGCTTCAAAAGCGCGGGTTTTTGTTAGATTATAAACAAATTTTGATATGATTTAGTATTTTAGAAATGATGTACATTATTAGGCTACAAATCTTAATATATAAAATAGATTTTTTTGAAAAATTATGTAATTTATAAATTAGTTTATTTGAGATTTTATATGTAAGTTTTTAATGTAATTCTCTCTAGGTCTTGACATTTTTTCCGGATCGAAAAACACGACCAAACCGACCCGAAAATATAGGTTCGGCTAGGATCCATGATAAAGTACTTACTGGCTATCTTTAAAGACCCGCAGGAATCGATTCTAGTATGGATCATAACCGAGACCCGATCGGGTACATAAAAGCACTCAATATTTTTTTTATTATATATGTTTGGATATTTCATATATGTTTTTGGNACCGACCCGAAAATATAGGTTCGGCTAGGATCCATGATAAAGTACTTACTGGCTATCTTTAAAGACCCGCAGGAATCGATTCTAGTATGGATCATAACCGAGACCCGATCGGGTACATAAAAGCACTCAATATTTTTTTTATTATATATGTTTGGATATTTCATATATGTTTTTGGTATTATGTATATTCTTTTAAGTTATAGTAAATCATTAATTTTATAACTTGTTTGTATAAATATCCCCAAACATTAGAATACTATGATAATAAACCGGTTTTTGTATTATTACAATATACTATGTTACAGATAGGTTTACTCTAAAAATAATAATATGTTTGGTTTTAAACAAATTTATCGTGAATGGAGATGTTCAATATATTTTATACTCTCTATTTATCAAACATCAGCTATGAAAATTAATCAATGGAAATGATAGAGGGTACTGTTGCACAGTTGGTGGCTCAAGCAAATGATATATTTTTTGTTTAATGTGTGAAATCAGTCACGTATTATGAAATTATATGGTATAAGGTTATAATAATGTATTGNAGAGTAATGTATAATAAATAAGAATATTGACTAATTTATTGTTAGAGAAATATAAGGTAAGTTATATGATATAATGTTATTGTACAATATTGTTAGAGAAATATAAGGAAAGATAAAAAAAAATGTTAGTATAATGAAAGGGTCCAAACAACTTTTTTAAGTAGATTTATTTAGACTCCTTCTCTTTTAATAGTATAGACTAGATTTTGACCCGCGCTTAAAAGCACGGGATTAATATTTGATTAATTATTTATTGTAAATAATGAACATTAAAAGGTTAATAATTATAGATCAAACAAATTTATGTAGTTATGTTAAATTAAGTTATATAGTTTAGTTTTGCTGTTTTAATTCTTTTTAAGGATTTCAGATAATTTTGCGTGTCAGTATAATTTTATTTATTTAATTTGTTTGTTTAACTTATTTCACCCTGATTTTTATTTCTAGTGGTTTAATTGAGATTATAATGGTGTATATATTTAATTTGTTTGTTTAGATTATTTCACCCTGATTTTATTTTAGTGGTTTAATTTAAAATAAATATATTATTTAACATGTTTTGTATTGATGAAATTCATTTTATGTTTTTAAACTTTTAAAAAATTTCTATATATATATATATATATATATAATTTCATCTTGTTATTTAAAATTGAACTAAATTTTTGAGGATTCACAAATTCTAACTTGCTTTATATTTTTTTTGTTTAACCTATTTGTTTTTAATTTTTTTATATCGTGATTTTATTTTTATTGGTTTAATGAAAATAAATTTTTTTACCTTTTTAATCTGGTTTGCATTGATAAAAATAAATTTTAAGTTCCAGTTTTTTTAACATACTTTATGTTATAATTATTTTATAAAATTGACTTTTTCTTTTAAATTGGAATTATTATTTATAAAGATATAATATAATTGTTGAGCAATAGTTGTTACAAAGTGCGTAAATACATAATAACTATACTTTTTTTATTAAGGATCTTCAGTTACTATAATGTGGGCTATATATTGGATCAATAATATTGAAGTTACAACCTATAAATTATTAAAAGTTTAATTCATATTATGTTCTTGTCGCTTAGTTATAATATTGATTCATTAAGTCATATTCTAGTGTGATACACTCAACGTTAGTTTGATAAAGTCGTCATATTGTATTTCACATGTTTGAGTTTCACATAGATGGGTAGAAACACACAACATAACATTTTTTTCTAATATAATTATAAACGAAAGTAAAAATCTATAAGGAGACGTGTGTTTTTATGTAATGGTAAAATAATTTATGTATTATTTAGAAACTAAAAAAGGATGAAAAAAATATGACAAACGGTAGTGAGATTTATTAGGAATCGTGTGTTTTCATTTAGTGATATAATTAATTATGCATTAATTAACAAATATATANAGTGAGATTTATTAGGAATCGTGTGTTTTCATTTAGTGATATAATTAATTATGCATTAATTAACAAATATATAGGATCAGTTATACTATTTAGTTATATTTAATAGGTAACACTAATAGGTAACACTAACAAATGAATAGGTCCAAACAACTTTTATTAGTAGATTTTTTTAAACTCCTTCTCTTTTAATAGTATTGATGTTTATATTGTATAATCACTGTTAATTAAATATCCGATCCAAAACATATTTCATTAAGCAGACAATCTATGATGCATATATTGTGTCTGCCTTTTTGCGACATGTATTCCATCATTCATTTCACCTACACTGATTTCCGTTTTATCATAACTACTCAGTTAGTATTCTTGTTTTCTTTAACCCTTTCACTTTACCAAGAAATATAAAATTAAAAGATGTTTTTCATCCAAAAACAAAATACTAAAATAATCTAACTAAAATCATAGGCTAAGAAGGGAATCATATATTGTGGAGATTTGTAGTCCTTCTTTTCATATAAATTCACGGCCGTAATAAAAGTCAAAAACAACTGCTGCCTCCCTTTTTCTCCTTTTATGAGTATAAAAACAAAAGTCGCACTTGGGGAGAAATATAAAACTTTATGCACTAGCTGCACTTGGAAAGAAGAAAAAAAGAACCTGTGGAATCTTTAGTATTTTGTTTTATCACAATTCAACTTGCCTTTTAGTTAAAATTTATATCACGTTGAATTTATTGTGTGCTCGCAAAGTATACTTTTTAAATTCTAGAATATGTTTTTTTTTGACATCAAAAAGCTTCGTTTGATGTCAAAAGAAAATATTTGAGAACTTTAAAAAAAAAAATATTTTTTGACATCAAACAGCTATGGTTTTTTTTACATCAAATTCTAGGATATGTTTAATAGTTAATGTATGCGATCAATATAGTACACAACCGGTTTATTGTATTTCTTTGTCGGCAATTCAATGCGATTCATTGGTACGTTTTACATTTGGCTTGGAAGATAAAAACCTAGACAGATTTTAAAAGTAAGACATGACGTTTTATTAGACCTTGGAAGTTAGTATAGACTTTATTTGGTTTGAGATTCTCCGTTTATCAAAAGAAAGAGTTGGTAAGCTTCTTTAGAATTTCAGTTAGAAATTTGGACTCTTCAAGAACTCAACTAAGACAACCTGATCTTAAAGTGTGACTTAATAAATAATTAAAGTGGGTTCCCAAAATACTTTTGTTGGAATAGTTTTATGCGACGACATTGTACACTTCGAGCCAATAGAAATTATAGTGTACAAATTGGTGACCTTTTAAGGCCACTAGGTGTATAACAAGAATATCTGAGGTTATAAAAGCCAACTACTCCTCTCACCTTATGCTCATAGTAAAAGAGCAGCGCTAGTCAAAACTATTTGTTCCTTTCTACATAGAGATAAATCGAGACCATGGGAGCTAATGTTTCTTCGCCAGACCAGAGATATTCAGTGACACCCGACCTCCCTTCAAGGAGGCCATGGACGCCTCGCTTCGAGTCCCAGATTTCTCCTTACAAAGTTAAAAGCCCCCTTATTGTGGAAATCAAGAATAAGAATCAGTGGAAATCTCGGCTCAACGCACTCAAGGACACCAACAAGCTGGTAATATACTATTTCATGCGCTTTCTAACGTAGATTATATCTACTTCTTGAGATTTCTTTTGCTACAATGGTGGAGGTTTTGAACTGGGGTTATCTTGATAAATTGGAGACATTCTACCCTGTTGAACCAATGAAATTGACCTTTTTACTAGGCTTAATTTGAGTACATCATAATGCATATCCAATTCCTTGTTTATATTATATAGCTGGTGATTGAGTTCACAGCCAAATGGTGTGGACCATGTAAATCCCTTGAGCCGAAGGTTGAAGAGTTGGCGGCTAAGTACACCAATGTTGAGTTCGTGAAGATTGATGTTGATGTGTTAATGGTAATACTTAATAATCCGTTTGATTTCCTCCTAATCTTTCTCAAAGTCTAAAGAACATCATTAAGAAGATGTCAACGAAAAGTTATGTTGCCTTTGAGTTATAAAATAACAATTACTTGAAATGCAGAGTGTGTGGATGGAGTACAACCTCAATACTTTGCCTGCGGTTGTATTCATGAAGAGAGGCCAAGAAGTAGACAGAGTTGTAGGTGTGAAGCTTGATGAATTAGAGAGGAAGCTCCACAAATATGCACAATCCTTCTTCTGAAAAATATGAAGCTTTTACTTGCATGCCAAACAAAGCTCCTCATGTCTTATCACCTTATGCCAAGAATAGTATGCTACTATATATAAATAAATGTAGCTCTTCATGATGCATAATCACCTAATTATGCCAATAATAGTATGCAACTATATAAGAATAAATGTTTGAACGAGATTCAACAAAATAAACATAATTTGTGTATGTAGGTTGGATTTGCATGTACTTACCTGTCTCGTGTAATAAATTTATGACTACTGGTTTGTATGGTTTATATATGTTTCCTGTTCTCCCTTAAACAACCTTAATCAATTTCTTTTCAATATGGATTAGGGATGTAAACGAGCACATGAAAAGAAAATATCATATATATGAAACAATCATTTTAGTTGAACGAAACAACGGGAAAACTTTTAGAAAACATGACGTAGAAGAATAAATATTTATTGCTACAAACTAGTATAATAAATATGTCTCAAACTAAAAAAAAACGCATTTTAATCCAGGTAAAATTATAAAGAGAATACTCGCATGTTCTTTCTTACATTGAGGCTAAATTTAAAAGCTGGGAATGGGCATTGAAGAGTAAGAACATCATGCATTTGGGAAATATTATTTTTGCAGCTGCTAAGGGACTTCATTATAGCTCTTTCTGTTATATTACAAGAGGGAAACATCTATCGTTTGAATCACCTAAATGCAATAAGAGTGCTGATGAGACTGAATGTTGTTACATATATATATTTTAGGTTTCCTCTCGTACGTTGCTAAGGATACCCATATTGGCTCAACAAGAAGATATTTACCGTAGTCTAGACTGTCTAGTAATATTTCCTTTTGTTTTTTTCTTTTCTTTTCTGGTTTTTGCTTTGTGTTAGTATATGAAAAAAAGGAACAAAGTAGTAGAAGAGTTGGTTTTTTTTTTTTTTTTTTTTTTGGAACACAAACTTTCATTAGAACTTGAAATCATCAGAATACATTGGTTAGCATACCAGAAACAGAACCAAGGGCCTGTTTCGCTAACTTATCAGCGATAGAGTTCCTTCCACGAGGAATCCATACAAAAGACACAAAGTCAAAAGAGCTAACAGCAATTCTAATATCAGACACAATCCCATACAACTCTGGGGGTTCCACCTTTGCATTTAGAGCCGAGATGAGCTGGGAAGAGTCGGATTCGCATCTAACACGTCGAAGTCCAATGTTCATGCATTTCTTGAGTGCTTCCCTCATTGCAAGTCCTTCAGCCACAAGCGGTGAGTTCACAAAACCCACACAAGACTGAAAACACGTGCTCTGTCCTGCATTTTTAATTATCCATCCCAGACCTGCAGTGTTAGCCATCTCCCTCCAAGCTGCGTCGGTTTGGATAATGCAGTCCGAAAGCGTAGCCACAGGAGGCGCGCGCAGTACTGGGCTTCTCAATTTTTCTTTGTCCTGTGCATTAAGCCATTCTCTTGCCGCCGCCACCGCAAGAGTGACGACTTAGTAGAAGAGTTGGTGAAGACTTTTTTTTTGAAATCAAGAGTTGGTGAAGACTTGCGCAATTATGCTTGAGCATTTTAAACTCTTTAATAATTGATTAAGAAAATCTTCTAGTAACAAACATCATTTCTTGATGGCAATTTTTTTTATGGCAATTGTTCACATATAAAACTTAAATGATACGTTTACAAAATAAATTATGTCCAACAAAAGAAAGATTAGCATCCACAATAATAATCTATTTATATATTACATAGTTCACACTTTACACTCTTATATAATGGAACCGAGGGCCAATCATACCTTCTGGTCAACACCATATCTCAATCTTGAGCTAATACGTCGACCACTATTGCAAGACACACACAGCATGCCATCTAAGAACTAATTGAAGCTACTAAAACGACATGCAGAAGCTGCAAACGAAGAGGAAACAGCTTGCCATTTAAAGGATTGCGTGTACACACATCAGCATCATCCATGACCCATGCTAGTCTAGTAGTCTCTTCTCTTAGCGCCTGCGCCAACGGTTCCATCCTTCAAATTTCGGCGAGAGTTAGTCACCAAGTCAACACAAAATCAAAAATATTAAGATGACAATCTTGAAACTTCATATATATTAAATAAATTAGCTAAGCACCAAAATTAAATTATCTGAATGCAAGTTTGTGGTCCGTTTCGACTAAAATAAGTTTGAATATTCGACATAATATCGATTATTGCCGGAATCTTATCTCTCTAGCTAGTTATTATTTTCTTGTCAACTTCTAATCCATCTCATTAAAAATAATAACAATTCGCGTCGACAGATATTTTTTCTAGTCCTAAATAACAATACCAACCTCTACCTCCGATTTTTCTGAAGTGGTCTTAGACATCGGAGGAGCTGGAGCAGGAGACGTCGTTTCGACCAAGATCTCAACGACATCAACATCCCACAAGAACGAGTCGGAACTACGACGAGAGTCATGAGTGACTGAGTTACGCCACGGAGGAAGTCCACCATTGGCTCGGAGGAAGTGATCGTGCCTAGTCTTGAGCTTTACTTTTGATCCTTCTCTCACCGGCCCCCACTCAACGGATGAGTCAAGTCCACTTGGTTTAGACAAGACCACTTTACGCCCCGTGGCACCGAGCAAGAACCGCTCTCTAGAAGCGGTGAGGTAGCTACCGTAGCAACTCCTCAAACGGATCACTTCAAAGGAACCACGAACTGGTTCGACGGTCCAACGAGCTCTCTTGTCGGAACCATTCCTTTCTTGAGTCACCGTCTCCTCGTCCTCGTCCGCCATAAGATATTTTTCGTGGACGTTACGCATCCTAACGGCTTTAGCGTTGTGGAAAAACTCCATTTGTTGATGATGCTATATGTTATTACAACTTTCTTCTAGTTGAAACTTATAAGCAAGATTTGTTTCATAAAACGATTTGTGATTCTGTGAAGTGAATACACTGTTTGGTGTGTATTTATTAATGGAGACCAAGTCCAAAGCGGCACACAATGATGTGGACCTTTTCAGTCTTTTTAAAATCAGTTTATTGCCTAGCAAAAATAAGTAGAACATTGAATAGTCATGTGCTGAAACAATTTTAACAACTAGGCATGGAAAAGTCGTGCTTAATTGACAAGTTTCCACTTTCACCATATCTCTTACTTCCACGTCCGCATATTTATATATCTATAAGTACATATCCGTTTACCTTTTACGCATGTTTCCCATTATTGCCCGTTACAACTTGTGTAATCGAAAAAAAAAAAACTCGTGTAATCAAGAGAAAGGAGTACCAGGGCACCATATGATGAAATTGAATGGGTATGTAGCACACTATGTGAACATAGGCAAAAGAAAAAGAGAGGTTTGTAATCTACTCAAATATATTAATATACTATAGATGTATTATTACAATCCGAATAAAAACAAAAATATGCATAAATGTATATAATATATGGTTGGACTTGGGATATAATTTTTTTTTTTTGTTTGGTTGGATATGTTGCCCTTAAGAAATAACAAAAGGTGAGATTGACGAGTGTGGGACTCTCCTTGAGGCTTATCTTAAGCATGTCCCAATGACAGATCATAGGTAAGACCAACTTGTTACATTTTCTCGCGTCTGTGATACGTTACTCTTATTGTTTCGTGAGTAATTTACGTATATTGTTGATGTCATGGACCGGACAAACTGGTTTGTGCCCTTGGAAATCTAATATACTTTTGAGTTTCGTATGTTTGGTTTTGTTCTGAATTTAGAATCTGATTCTTGATTAGGTTCCCTCGTCAGGTACCGGTCGAAGATTAACCAAGGAAAAATGTAAAGGCCATCAAATCGGAATGTTTCAAATGATTTGCCTGCCTTTAGGAAAAAATGAATTCTAATCTTAATATTTCGTTTGTATACGGATACAAATCAACATGCTATACAAATTCATAAACACCTTAATATAAATAATCCAAAATCTCGACCAACTATTTTTGAAAGAGTTAAAGGACATTCATTGGACACTCAAGTATGGTGTAACAAATCGAAATAAAAAAATTAGGTCAAACAAAAGATTTCGTTGTTTAATTCAAAAATTCATTGACACGTATGTATGCGATGTATATGGTTGCTCTTATGGGCTGGGTAAGCTGATTTGAGCCCAGTTTATCATAACTACAGAACTAAGCTTCTTTGAGTCCAGTCTTTGTTGGTTTTTATTTAAAAACTTCTAAAATCTGATATCGATTTTGATCCACAGACCATGACTCTGTCCGAGATTAACCGCAAAAGAAAAAATACAAAGGAAAATGTGGAGTGTTTTAGGACCTTTTTGATTAGGTCTGCATAAAATTGTAAGTGAGACAAGGGCTTGGGCTATTTGCTTAAGACTTGAATAATGCAAAAAAGGGAGTTCTACAAAGTCCTTTACTATTGTTTTCCTTTGTCAACAAATCATTTACAATTGTTTTTTTTTTTGACAACGAATAGCCATTCTATTCCTCAAATCATTTACAATTGTTACTGGAACTTTGGTGAATATTGATAATGATATTTAATCAGTCAGTCAGTTGATTACAGAGATTGTGAAGGAACGTATAGAACTTCATGATATCCTTCTTGATAGAACTTCATGACAAAGATTTCTTTATATGCCGAGGAAAATGCTGTTCTCGAGGGCTGGTGTTAAGCCACCCGATGTAACTTTGTTTTTGCTAATACAAAAGAAAATATTTCAAAAAATAATAATCCAGTTTTAAATCCAATCAAAGAAATTACATAATAAAGATGTTGCAGACAAAATGACAAATCGATTAGCTAAATATTTTTGGTTTAAAGTTAAAACTTTGGACAAGTTCAAAGGCCAACGATTAACCGGTCTCATGGGAACTCTCCATAATCTCGACCACGTCAACTTCCCAAACCACCCAATCCTGCGTAGCACTCCGGTTCGGTATATCATGCGTAACCGAATTCCTCCAAGGTGGCACTCCCCCATTGGCTCTCAGAAAATTCCCACCGTTTCTACTCTTCAGCTTCACCTTTGACCCATCTTTAACCGGTTTCCACTCTCCCGCCGGTTCACCATCTCCGCTCCTCCTCGACTGAACCACCTTATGCCCCGTCGCTCCCAGCATCAGCCGCTCGTTAGAGGCAGTCAAGTATCCACCGTGGCAGCTCTTTAACCGGATCACATCCTCGGATCCGGGTACCAATTCAACTCTCCATCGGGCCTCTTTCGCTGACCCGTTTCGGCCCATTACCACACTCTCCTCGTTATCATCTGCAATTAAATATTTCTCGTGTGCGCTGCTTCGTAGTCTCACCGATTTCGCTATGCGAAATATATCAATCGCTGATGAATGTTCAACAATTTTCTTCGAATCTTTTTTCTGTTCAAAAAAAAATTATAAATTAATCACCGAATTATTAAGTTTAAATCAATAAAAACAATTATAATGAACATGTTATTATTACAAACCTCTATTGGTTTTGGGTTTGATGTTTCCGACATTGACGGAGAAAACATAAGTTTCGAAGAAGAAACCGACACGTTGGATTCAGAAGATCCAAATGTCGGTGATTTTTTAACCGATGACTCATGATTTGTCTCATCGTTGACCGTTGAGTTAAAACTCGAAGCCGGCGACGAAAAACCATCGGCGAACGAAACCTTCTCAGGATTCTCAACGACCTCGACGGTCCATAAGATCCATTTCTTGTGCGCGTGAGGCTCATGATCGTGCGTGACGGAGTTTTTCCACGGCGGCGATCCACCGTTCCCGCGCAAATAATTCCCGTTCCACGACATGAGTTTGACCGTCGAGTCGTCTCTGATCGGCTCCCAGTGGCTCTCGTGCTCCGCCTGACGAAACGGCGGCGTTTGGACGATCTTCTGGCCTGTGACACCGAGGAGAAACGACGACTCGCTCGCCGTTAGATATTTGCCGTAACAGCTCTTGAGACGGATGAAAGTGGGCTTTCGTGGCACCATCTCCACCGTCCATACCGACTGCCGTGACGTTCCGTCAGAGGTTTGGCGGACCGCTTTTTCGTCGTCGACGGCGGAGAGGTATTTCTCGTGACAGCTACGTAATCTAACGGCGGAACCTCTGGCGAATAACTCCATTTTTCTTTCCCTCGTTTAAGACACGGCGAGCTCTTTTTTTCTTTTTATATATTATGGTCGTATGTTTTCTCCACTTATATACGCTATTTCTTGTTCTTTGTTATCCAAGTATTACCATTTCATAAAATTAAATGTTTCCGCGTAGAAATGTTAGGAGACTATTAATATTGTTTAATATGATAAGTTGTCAATTTAATTTCCAGGCTGTTTATCTATAGTCGCTCGTCCAGATGTTGAACCCAGCAAAGCCTTTTGGTTCCGTTTTCTTGTATAGTTGTAATTTATGTTTATTATATAATCAAAGGTCAAAGAGTTATATCCTCTTTTTATTATTTCTTATCACTAAGAGTTTGATACTTTGTATATACCAAAAACAAATATTGTGTTACCTTATTTTTTGAAACACTTTTTCTTTTTGAAACTCAAATATTGTGTTACTTGCTATTACAAAAAATTTATAGGTCAAAATGATAAATGACATAATAACAAAATCTTAGCAAAGATAAAACTCGCGGATTTTTTTGTAATGTCAAATTTATTGTATATCTTTCACACAATGATAAATAAATAAAAACTAAGGAAAAATTCAGCCTCTAATAATACTTTAAAATGGTAAACACAGTATTTTGAGATTGCTTGCATTATACTGATAATTCTAAAAAGAAAATAACTTTTAAGTATTTAAGTGAAAATGACGTGACAATTTATCTATCTTATAACCTTTTTGTTTTGGAAAGTTATTTCATACTCATGGACTTGCTCCCACTTGGCTTGGGCCACTATATTATGGTTCGTGTGTGGTTTAGAGCTTAAAGATGTCAAGTAGCCCATTTAAATGGATCCAACTAAATCAATAAAAAGTTTCTCATCTATGTTTCTAATTTTTTTTTTTTAATTTTTTTGTATATGAAAATGTATATAGCTATATTACTTGTATTTATATTAAATAGGAAAGTTATATGAAATATGCCTTAATTTTATTTTCTAAATCCACCCCTTTTCGTTATGAAAATTTTATGAAATTTTAGTTTTTTATTTCATTTATTAATTTTTTGATAAATTTTAATTATAAAACTTATTAAATGTCAACTTATTTACTCTAATATTTTAATAAATTAACATTATTTAATTAAATATGAAAGCTTCTTTAAATTAAATGTATTTATGACAGTATAAAGAAAATAATATATTATTTTAATATTATTTTGTAGTATAACTTGCAAAAAAAATTATTTTAATATGATTTATCAAATAATTTGAAATAAAATTTAAAAATATATTAAATAGCTGGGTCATAATTTATATTATTTAAAAATGAATTTAATCAATGATTTTTTTTTGGAAACATATCTATTGTTGTTTCTGTAATTATCTTAATGGATTTATATTGTTTTCATTAATTATTAATGATATTTAATATAATATAAGATTTGACTAAAGGTTAGGACCATTAAAAGGTTTACGTTTTAATAAAAGAGGTTTATACATAATAGCATATGAGTAAATGTTAGATCCATTAAAATATATTTTTTAATAAGATATATTTATCAAATAATTGGAAAGAAAATTAATAAAAAGTATTAATAAGTGGGATTCTATGTTTTATGTTGTCTAGACTAAAATTTAATTATTGAGTTGTTTGGAAACATATCTTGTACTATAATGTTGTTTCTATAATTATCTTTGTGAATATCTTTTATTTTCAATAATCATTAGTGATGTATTATATAATATAACATATGAATAAATGTTTGATCGAATAAAGAAATTGTTTTAATAATAAAGATGTTTATGGTTTAATAAAAGAGGTTAGATAATATAACATATATATGACTAAATGTTAGATCCATTAAAAGGTTTTTAAACTACAAAAAATGGCTTAATATCATTTATTTTAAATATTTGTTTTAGTTTAGAATGATTCAAAATAGTTATACATTACTTAAATAAATGATTGAAAG